AGCCCGCGCCCAGCCCTGCGTGCGGCATGACCTCCAGCGGCAATGGAATTTCAACCCTGTGAAATGGCTCCAGGGTGTCTCTTGGGTCTTTGTAGGCCAGAGAGTGTTTCAGCTCCAGCCACTAGGGGGAGGACTCCGTTCTCCTCCCCCTGGGCTGCGAGCCCTGAGGCAGCGGCCCAGGCAGTCGTGGGTTATGGCCTGGGGGGGGCGCTGCTGGTGGAGAGTCAGTTGGAGCGCAGAGCCCACGGGGGGTCACAGGGCGCTGGAATGGGTGCTAACTGTAAGGACTGACGCGCACCTAACCCCCTTGCCCGTGCGGGCAGCTGTCTCTCTCAAGAGCATCGCTGCTCGAGCTGGGGAGTAACTGAAATGTGCCCTCTGAGGCTCGAGGAAGCCAGAAGCCTTGGCAGACCCCGCGAGGCCAAGGCGCATGAAAGCGCTGGCAGGTCTCTGAGCTGCTCAGAATTGAAAACAGGTGGCTTTAGATTAAACAGACTTAAGTGCTATTATTCATTTTTTTAAACGTGACTCTCAGAGGCTGAGATTTGATCTAGTTATTCCATTGTTCATTTACACAAGATACAGGTCATAAACCATACTCTGCGGGTTTCACCTACCTTCTAGTATCCCTGAAGCCACTTTCTCTGCTTGAATACCTCCAGTGACAGGGCACTTCCCACCTCACTTAGCATCCTTATCTTTTTGAACCAGCTCTCAAACTTGCTTAAGGAAGGAGTTAAAATTCTGTCTATGTGACTTCTACTTAGCAGCCTTACTTCTGCTAACTGAGATGCTGCGGAGTAAGCTGGTCATTCCCATTCTTGAAAAGATGTAAGTATAGTGACAGGAAACATCGGTGATTGCCAGAATGGGGAATGTGAGTATGAAGACGTAGCACAAGGGAGCTTTGGGGGGTCATGAAACTATTCTCTATCCTAATTGTAGTTACACAATTTATGTGCTAAAATTAATGGAACTGTACACCAAAAAGCCTAATGTATGACCTTTTATAAAATAAAAGCTTTTTTTTTTTTTAATGAGAAAAGTCGGTCATTCCTCAAATGTGGAAAACTGCAGGCTCCACAAATCTCTGAGTTGAACATTCCTTGTGGCTTTAACTGTTCCTCATCAGCTCTGGCTCCACACTCCACACCCCCCAGCTCACCCTCCAAGTGCACCACAGGTGACTTGGGATAAAACCCAGAACTCTAAGAATAGCCTGAGCCTTCACCTACCTCCCAGCTCCATCCCTCTGGTACAGCTGAAATGATTTCCTTTTTGACTCCTGAGACACAACACTGTTCTTAAAACTTGCAGCCAATTAAAATCCTATGTTTTATCTTTTGTCATGATTAGTTATACTGAAGACACAATGAAATATGTAGTCATTTTAAATAAAGACATCTTAATAGCATAAAAACTACTCAGGATATAAAGTGAATGGAAAGTGTTGGGTACAGAACAGCAGATACAGTATGCTCATAACTATGAAGCATTTAAATATAAAATATGAGAAGGTACTTCAAAATGATTAGCTGTAGCCCTGGCTGGTGTGGCTAGGTTGGAGTGTCGTCCCGTATACCAAAAGGTTGCAGGTTCAGTTCCCTGTCAGGGCCAGTACAGAAAGCAACCAATCAATGTTTGTCTCCCACATCGATGCTTCTCTCTCTAAAAATCAATAAAACATATCCTCGTGCGAGGGTAAAAAAAAGCTAAAGGTGGAAGGGTTAAGGGAAGTTTGTATTTTCTCATTTATACTTTTCCAAATGTTTCCAGTTTTCTACAATGACAATATAATCAGGAAAAGAAAGTTTTAACAAAGAATGTTGTCAGATCATCCTGAAATCCTGCACGATGGTATGTTATATTCCCATTCAACATGTTTATTCGTTTTTTGTGTGTAAAAGATCATGCACCAGATGTCACAAAGATGACAATGTGGTTCTGGTCCTCAAGGAACATTCTGTGGGGAGACACAAGTGTATTGTAAGGAAAAGTAACAAAAGTATGAGCTAAATAAACAGCTTTGGGAGCTCTGTGAGGGGGCCGAGACGACACTGACCCTGTCTCCTGAGAGTTTTCTCATTTCCACATTACCAACCAGTTCCTTTTTTACTGAT